AACAAAGCAATACCGACACAACCGAAGCGTTGAAACCTGGGAGTTGAAACCATTCTACATTACCCCTTTCCACGTCGAGCAGACTGAAGAAGATGTCCTGGAATACCTCCGCGAAACCTTCAACATCGTAAATTCTACGGTGCGCTGTGTGAAGCTGGTACCTAGAGGCAAACAAGTCAACGAACTAACCTTTGTCTCCTTCAAAGTATCCGTTTCACCCGACTTGGAAACCACTGTTGGGGATTCATTCTACTGGCCTGATGGAGTAAATGTACGTGAATTTGAATCAAAAAACGACGCGGCTCCAATCAACCTACGACCACCAATACTTCCACAATAAGTTTATCGATACACTCTACATCAACTACTCGCAACTCTACGCAACTTTCATCTCTGGGACGCAACGGTGTTCACCCTATGGAAGCCACCGATCCTCTCACCACAGTCGTGCCTTTCCTGCCATCGTCCATCAGTCGTCCCGGCCCTGTGTGTGAGTTTGGAAACGTGGTCTTCCAAACTAATACCGCAGGCAAGTACGATTCATTCTTGTTCAGCCCAACTCCTGATTCGTTGCTTGGTTTCAGTACTACACCGTTTAGCCGTCATTATTCAAGACCTTCAACTCAGCATGTTTTAACTCTGGGACGCAACGATACTGGCTACATGGAAGCCCCTAATCCCCCTACCACAGTCGAGCTTTTCCCGTCATCGGCCAACAGTCGTCCTGGCCCTGTGTGTGGGGTCAGAGAAGGGGTCTTCCAACCCGCTATCTTTGGCAAGTACGTTTCTGTTTTAAGCAGTTCAACTTCTGTTCAATCTACTGGTTCTAGCGTTGCAATCAACTGTCCCTCTTCAAACGTCAGCGAGTTTAACTATCCAAACAGCACGGTAGTAACCAGCAGCAATAATGATGCAGCTCATTCAGGACACAATTTTCTATCCGTCTACTACCAGAACGTCAGAGGTCTGCGCACTAAAACGACAGAATTGAAGTTAAGGCTATCGAGCTGCGACTACGATATAATTGTTTTTTACCGAAACATGGCTCCGGTCTGATATAAGCGATACGGAACTCACTTCCGACTACTCAATATTTCGGTGTGATCGAAGTGAAACTACTAGTAATTCTTCGAGGGGTCGTGGAGTTTTCGTAGCTGTTAAAAATAATTTGCACTGTACTGCGGTTTCTTTGGACGATTGTAGACAGCTTGAACAAATTGTTGTACGAGTAACACTTCCTCACCATTCGCTGTTGATCATTGGCATGTATCTTCCCCCGAATTCCGACGCAAGTTTATATTCGGCTCACGCTACGGCTGTCCAGCACTTATCGGATCGTTCGTCGGACAATGACATTATTCTACTCTTCGGGGACTACAATCTTCCTCATCTGCAATGGTGCTTCGATGAGGACGTTAATGGGTTTATACCTTCGAACGCTTCCAGTGAACAAGAACTCAATCTCACCGAATCCATCTCTGCGTGCGGGCTGGTTCAAGTGAATTCTTATACGAACCCGAACGGTAGACTACTAGATCTAGCATTCACGAATTCTCCAGATGTCATTGAAGAACTGCGGCCACCACTTCCACTCTTATCCACCGACGCCCATCACCCAGCGTTTATTTTACTAGTGGATGTGCACAGCGTCATCATAAACCACCAAATCGACGCGGATTCGGATGCAATTGACCCAGATTTCAGGCAATGCAACTTTGATTCCCTTAAGGGGGTATTCCCGATCTTTTTTTTTTTCAAAAAATCAAATTTTTTTTTCACGTTTTTTTGTATATTAGACTATATATTTTCATCCCCCCAAGCCGTTTTCCGATCAGCGAATTCGGTGTCCAGGCATAGCTGACTAACGGTAAGAACCCCCAAAACGGTTTTAACTAAAGTGAAAACTTTAAACGCGTTTTTCTAGAAACCACATTTTTTTTTATCGGGCGAAGATTTTTCTCAGAAACTATAAGAGATATTGACTTGAATCTTTGCGCATTTTGTTCCTTATTAAATTCTTTGGAGCTTCTCGCACTTTCAGTCAAAAATATTAACATTTAACATTGTTTGAAGCACCTTAAAGCTGCAAAAAAGCGGGCTAAAAATCGCCTGTTTTTTCATATGGCCGCCATTTTGTTAATTTGCAAGATTTTTTGCTGCCAACGGGAGAAGCTCCAGAGAATCTTATGCAGATTATTAATTTCATCACGAAATCTGTTTCAGATGAAGCCGTTCCAGAGAAAAGTCTTCGCCCGTCCAGGCGTTTGCGGCGAACAGGGGTCTGTTTGCCGCCATTTTGTGACGTCAATAATGTCTTTTTTTATGTCGAAAAAAATTTATTTGTAAACTTTAATGTTCAATAAACAAGAATCCCAAAGAGTTAGGCGCATTACTATTCATTTTCCTTGAAAAAAAATTAATTGAAATACAGGTCGAAAAAAGGCAAAAGATTGGGAATACCCCCTTAATGCCGCGTTTTCGTCGATCGACTGGCAGCTTCTTCTACATGAACACACTGTTGATGCAAACGTTATCTTGTTTTATGACAAGCTGGCTAACGGCGTATAAGAGCTATCTTATGTTAGACGAAAATCTTTCATAAATAAGTCACGCTCATGAAATTCATATGTGTCGTTCATAAGTCGAGCCTTATGAAATTCTTAAGTCTATTTCAAGCTGAACATTGCATTAGGTCCTAAGTAACATTAATCGATTATCTTCGTTGACTTTCTCTTTCGTTAATAACTTGAGCAAAACATCGTTTCTTGTTGTGTTTGTCGTATTAGATGCTAGATAAATAAATCATTTATCGTTCTGTTTGCTGAAAATTCTTGGGAATGTCTTTACACGGCCGTGGGGATACAAGAGAAAGTCGACGAAGAGAATCTGTCAATGTTACTTAGGACCTAATGCAGTGTTCAGCTTGATTTGCCTCAGTGCTGTCTTTTCTCAGCAGTTGACAAGCAAATTGAGTGAAGGCCGGCGCACAATAGATACGTTTTCAGGTTTTTTGACAGATAATGCATGGGCTAGCTGTCAAAAAACCCGAAAACGTATCTATTGTGCGCCGGCCTTGAGTCCTTAGCGATGTCAATTATGCAAGGTCTGGCCCAACCGGCTTATTGGTTTTAGTGAAATGTGAAAATGTCTAGTGGTGGTCGTATTTCAACGGAATGTTTATCTTTTTACACGAAACAGCTGTTTTCTGTGACGACACGTCTGCTAATCGCAGTATGGAATGTTGCACTGCCGTGACATCGGCATTCGCTTGCTCAGCAATGTTTACAACATTTTTGCTTCAAACACTAGCAAGCTGCCTGTTGTTCCAGACCTTGTATGATTGACATCGAGTCCTTAGTACCCAGCTCTAACCTTACTTTTCCCGCAATGGAATCTGACAGATGAAAATGATTTGTTTACAAAAATCCGTAGAAACAAATGACAGCTGGTCATTTTTTGTGTACACAAATGTCAAAATTTTCTTCGTAAACAATGATGCAGAATTCGCGCACAATGCCCCAAACCGCGTGGGCGACGGACCGCTCGTATTTACACAATCCCGTTCCAAACTGTACTATAAGCCACGCACGAAAGCCAATTGTTAATTAATTTCCCTCCGCTTTGATCTACGCGGATAATCTGTAATCTGTTTTGCCTCCCTATTCCAAGCTCTCCTCCCGCCCGGGTCCACCGAACCACGCGAACAACGCCCGCTCTGATTGAAATATCGATTCGGCGGCCACTTCCGGCTCACCCCGGCAGTCAGTCCGCAAGTCGGCGGCTAGCTTTAATCTCACCGGACCCGCACCTGGGGAAGCCGCGGGTTCCATATGAAGTTTAAAATACCGTGTAAATATTTGATCTTTCACTACCTCTCGCCCGCCGGGACAAGGTTTCCTTTGATCCACGCCATTTTAGCGTTTTCAGTTTCAGTTGCTCCTTTTGTACTGGAAAAAATTGCGGCGCAGTTGGCTTTGCCTGCTCTTTTTTTGCCACATCAAGAGCAGGCAGCACCACAATGTTGTTATACGCGAGTTTCGCCATGCGCTCAAGCTAATTTCGCAAACGATCATTGACTACCAACCGACTAAAACTCGATCCCCCGGTGGGGAAGACTACGAAGAAACTGAGAGGTCCCATATTCGAGAGAGAGAGACGAAAAAGCCATCAAAGGATTATTTATTGGTTTGGGTATCGGGTTACGGGCTCCTTCTAAAACACTCTTTTAACACGACGGTTCTGCCGAAATGCGGACCGCTTCTCTTGTTTCTACCGGTTAGCTAGCTGGTGGCGAACAACAAGAAGCTCCCTGATTAGCATATATCGGTGGCCACTCATGGCCACTGCGTCAGGGTTCCTGGTACCGAGAAATCTCGCGTCACTTTGATCGATTCTCTTCATCGACTCTCTCTTTCGTAAATAGCTCGTAAATAACGTTTCCTGTCGTCTTTGTCGTATTTGACGCTAGATTGCTGCTTCTTCCATCGAACTGTGTGTCAAAAATATCCGGAAATATCTTAAAACGACCGTGGCGATCCAAACAGAAAGTCGATGAAGAGAATCGGTCAATGTAGATAGGATCTATTGAAAAGTGACGCGAGAAATCCGGTTTGAGGTTAGGATCAATGATGCCACATATACAGATTTATCTGGAACTGTAACAGATTTTTAGACTATCTTACGATACAGAAATCCGTATTACAGATTTGGGAGAAAATCTACAGAAGCTGAAAATCGAAAAATATTGGTGGAGCTTACAATACAGATGAAAATTGTGGCATCACTGTTTAGGATGTTATAAAGAGAGATATTTATCTAGTTTAAATTAAGAGTGTTTGATCGGTTTTGTAAACCCTAGCTTCTAATGGCGAAAAAAAAAATACATTGGAGCTTGATCAAGCGAAAACAAAAAGCGAACCATATCGAGCGCAAAGATCGTATGTGTGTAACATAATATTTTAATTTGATTTCTTTCTCCACCCTTCTCCCTCCCCTCCTAGACTGGCCAACAATGCAAATTTCGCCGAGTTGCAATTTTTAAGCGCCCGCCGAGCGGCCGTCGCTGCAGCAGTGGCCAACGCGGAGGCAGCCGCCGCCGCCGCCGGTAGTACAGTATTACCTCCACATCCACCACCGGCCCCGACCACGGTGTCACCCCCGGCCACGTCCGGTGCTTCAACGACGGCAGAGGAACGGAGTAGTAGCAGCGGCGGCTGTGGCGGAACGACGACGGCAGGAGGAGCCAGCCCGGGACTGCCCACTGCCAATGGTGGTGGCAGCAGTCCACCCAGTGGCGGTCAGTCTGCTGGACAGACGACGCTTCCCTCGGTGCCGGTGCACCATCCAGGAGACTTCCACCCGGCCTACAGGATACCCGGCTACATGGAACATCTCTACTCGCTACAGCACGCGTCGGCGTCGCTGCATGGTAAGTAGTGCGCTCTGCTTTCAGTATTTATTTGAACGTTGAATAATTCTTTGTTTTGGCGATTTGGGACTCCGTGCGCCGCCTGTAAAGCGGAATGCGACACTTTGTTTTGACTACGGTGGGGGACATTGGGCTCGGCGACGCCGCCAATGCTTCTGACCGAATCAGCGAAATTCAAGCTACTGTTGTTGTGTCGGTTGGCGGCGCGGCAGTAATTTGAGGTTAGCTCTCATTTCGTGAATGGAGAGTTGTTTTGGTTTTCGTGCAAGGATTGCTCTATGGAGTAAACAATTGAGTAACTTAGTAACCGTGGGTCGTTAGAAGAGGGTTTTTTTTTGCTAATGGCTTCTACCTGGGAGGGAGACATAGATAGCACACACGGCATTCATTTTATAGCTTTTCTATATGTCATGAAAATTTGAGATATTCGCGATGACGCCATAGAGGTAACTCTAATATACTAGAAGGTCCCGAAGAAACGTGCTCAACTTTTTGGCACAGCTCTGCTACTCTCTTAAGGCCCAAGCTTATCAATTCACCCCTCGAAACTTAGGAAATTCCACGAACCCCTCATTTTATCTGTCAAACTTTCATAGCGAATCAAAACAAACATAGTGTAGTACTAGGATTTCGACTAGAATGGAGTACGTTATTCTATTTGCTTGGGACCAATAGGCTAGTCAAGTAGCGAGCCAATTTAAAATTGTTAGTTTCCACCGGTTGATGACGTCACTGTCGAAAAATCGTCTCTTCTAACAAAGATTGGCAGTTTCTTACGGGAATTTTCGATGGAGTGAGGATAGTGCAAAGTCCCCATGTTTCACGCACAGTCTGACGTTTGCTTATGGATTTTACCATAGGAGTAAAGAACTACCGAGTCGCCGTCAACGCCAATTGAAATAAAATCAAAATAGGCGTAGCAATATTGCCTGTTTTACTTTGAGCGTGTAGTGCTTGTTTGACGTTGTTCAGTGTGCAGTGATAAAATGTCCTTTGCTGTTTTGTATGTTATCGTGCCACCAAAGATTTTGACAAAAACCTTGGTTAATGGTATCTTCCCATATGGATTTAAGTATACATATGGCATATTCAATGAATGAATCTAAAAAACGGTGTCCCATTGAATAAGATAGCTAGAAACGACAGTTTGTCAGAAATCACTTTACGCAAGATTTCAATACTGCCATCTATATTTTTGCGAGTATTCTTGTTTAATTGTACGAAAAGCTTCGTCAAACTGCTTGGCTCCCAATGACAGTTCCTGGCAGCTTGTGTCTGGCTCCTTTTGACTTTATATGTTTCGAGTCTGGGTCTCCCTCCGAGGCTTCTACCATTACGTTTTTTTCATTGTTGGACAGTTTGAATGCTGTACAGCCGAATTAATACAATATTTTGAATGGTCTAATCTCAGTTTGAATATTTATTTATTCAAGTTAACCATTTTTCCAGGACTGGAAGTTGGCGACTTTGCATGCGCATCGAGCTAAAAGCACAAATTCGTAGTTGGTACAAATCCTAGACCATTTTACGAGAGTAGTAATACCTTCGTCCGTTGTCATAATATGGTAACCCATTAACCCCCAATTTTGGTTCATATTATAGACCGACATTAGGGATTAATCTCGGCTTCTTAAACGGAGTTCATACCGTCTCCTACAATCAAGAACTGTCCTGGCCGCGTCCTTGCAACTACTGGTGATGGAAAAGGATTGTTAGTGGAACACTTACTTACTTTGTCACTTTTTGAGTGACTTGGTCCTTGTTTTTAAAGCTGGTCACTTAAAAGTCACTATTTTCCCGGGACAGCACTTGCCAAGCGAGCCTTCTCACTCTTCTTAATGGTTTTGAAGAATGTCCTTTGCAAATTTGTTCCTGGTGTCTGACGGAGTTGACCAGTGATGCCAGGATTGCAGAATTTTTTTTTTAATATTTGGATTTGATGCGGAGTTTATACAGCAGTTTAGCACCTTGTACAAAATGTTTGTTCAACACAATAAAAACAACCACAAACAAACAACAATATAGGGGAAATAGCTCTAATGTTGGCCTATGGATCTAAGATTGGGCCGCTAAAAATTAGCTATTTATCAATTTTACCTAGATGAACGCGTCATTGGGACGGTACTAATGGATATTTTTGGTGGCTTTTGAAAATTTAGTCGATTGCTGAATTTATGTATGGGCCCAAATTAGGGGCATTTAGGCCGACATTACATCCATTTCCCCTATGTAGTAGGTGGCGTTAGTGTGGAATAAAGAATGAGTAGAATCGAGTGAGCGTAAAGCGTGATAGACCGTATGTAAACGGAATCTCATTGGTTCGAGAATTTTGATAGGTTAGCAGATATAAATATGAGGTACCTAAGTTCGTTGAGGGCATTTCTTGTAACGAGTTTAGGTTGCGACAAACGTGCAGAAGGAACAGCAGCAACAATAGCAGCAGGATTGGAAGCAGCCGCAGCCGTGGGGGCTGCACCATTAATTCGTGTAGCCGTGGCCGAGGCTGGAAACTTCGGTCCGGTCACGACAAATATCCATCGCTTGACGTTGGGTGACAACAACTTAGTAGTGAGTAGTTAATTTTAACTCAACATTAAATTCCGCACGCAATATGGGTGAATGGAACGCATTTTTTCATTCCGTGTATCATCAGTTCTGTCAGGCTAACTAACACCTGTCATTTTCTAAAATGAACTACAGTCAACTCTCCATGCATCGATATTGAAGGGACCACATAGTTATAGAATTATCGACTTATAGAATTGAACATATTTTTTTGTGTGTCTAATTTTAAGCGAATTATTCCATCTACTGTAATATCTGTTCCTACTTATCCATATGAAGTGATCATATTTCAATGGAAGAGAAATCTGCTACAAAAACCCATTTCATAGTCTCGGAGACTTGAATAAAAATTCTCAATGTTTGAAATTCTAAAAGTGCACAAATTTCGAAATAACGGGAATTGTTTTAAATCACAAAAAAATCCTAGTGCCTCAGAGTTTCGAAAAATTCTATGAATTCAGTATCATCAAAATTAAAAAAAATACAAGAATTCTAAAGTGCTACGAAGTTTTAAACATTTGATTTATTTTAAATTATAAATGTTAAGACGTCCAGCATTTTGATTATTCCAATTAATCATCCATCTTAGGGATATTCATAAAGGATCTTCAATTGTTTCAAGTTAACCCGCATACAAGGGGTGGTCACTCTACACACTTGTTTTGCGCCAACGGCAGTGCCGAGAAGTAATTGAACTGACTTTTGTTTGCTTGCGAATAATGAATTGTTCGGCAACCCGGTATTTTGACAACTCTTGATTTTGTTTTGTTTTTCGAACAACTCAAATTGACGACGACGATTTTGGGTGGCCGGACCCGGAAAGCGACAACGGCCAAGAAAGTGGTGGACGCTTTGTGCTAGTCACGACTGTAGGATCTTCAGAATCGAAAGGTGCTAAGCGCTAAGCCATTCCAAGTGACGAACAGACGAAGAACACCAACGAAAGATCAAAGCCATGAAGCAGCTGTACAAACCGCCGACGGTAGATGAAATCAATCGGTTGAAAGAAACGGAATATTTCTACAACTCGAATCTGTTCCGGCTGCAGGTCGAAGAGATGCTAAGCGAGGTGTTAAATTATATTGAGCGTTGGTTGGGCGATTTCCGGAAGTTTTTGAGGACGGCAAAAGATGCGGACAATGAACGATCTCTGAAGGGTGTGGATTATGATGGGGTTGATGTTCCGCTGGCATTTTCCGACGACTCGAATGTCTCGCCAAGGAAAGCTTCAAATTCGTTCAGCAACGGATCGTGCACCATATTGAATCAAGTCGTTTGGGGACATCTTATGGCAAGCCACTGAAAGTAGAATTACCGCTGGAGATTCCGGACAAGTGTTTCCGGAAGGAAGATTACCTCAACTTAATTACCTTAACCCACATGAAAAGGGCACATTTCCTTTGCCATCTGGCGGGCGGAAGTATTGGACAAACAGTCAAAGTATTCTTTGGCCAGTGGGATGCGCTTCATTCCGCTAAAAGGGGTTCAATGAAAAATTTGCCAATCGCATGTTTGTGGTGCACGGTGCTACAATTTATTTGTAACATAATGAAAGCCCTGCAGGCAATCGCAACCCTCGGATTCCTTATGGACAACATCCAGCACAGAATCCACCAGTTCGGCACCCTTGGTGTAGTGTCGTTTGACCCAGTAGTTACCACCACCGGACTGTCCAAAAACGAAGTTATTCGGCCGGAACAGTTGTCCAAATGGTCCCGCTCGGATCGAATCAATAGTTCCCGGCTCAAAATTGATCAGAACCGCTCGTGGGACGTACTTTCCTCCGGTTACGGGAGTCTGAGTAACGTCATTAATAACGGAGCTGGAGCCGGTAATGTTGAGATTGATTGAGTGGTGTTGCTATGCAAGCGATTGCCCGGATTTTTTCATACCTACTTCTTCGGACAGGCAATAGGATGTGCGCTGACTGTACTTTGTGGAATTCAATTCAATTTTGGAGAATCACTGGCGGAATTTGATGGAGATTCACGGTTGTGGTTTGTTAAAATTGGATTGTATTGTGACAGCATCAATAACAAATTTTGACACATGTATACTGCGCGAAAAAGTTCAGAATTGCCAGTAACTTTAAACATCATAAAAATTGTAACCATGGGTGCCAAACAGCGCCATTGTTTGCGCCCGGGTGTGCCCAAGTTTGATTTTGGCACACTGTGTAGAGTGGCCAACCCCTTACCCGCATACACAATAACCATAAGAAGTGCCTAACCACCAATTCGGGACATCATCCCAACTTTATATGGTATGGTCGTACCATCTACGGTATCGCTAGTGTATGGTACCCGTTTATTAGGGAAATCTTATCTGAAGTCTCAGAATCTGATTTTTTCCAATTCAGATTTTTTTTTAAACATGTCAGAGGATTTCTTTGGGGTTTGTTCAAGAATTTCTTGAAAATAGTCGAAGAAATACAT